GGGAACAGAGGAGGCCAGGCAGAAGCGTCCTTGCGAATGAACCACAGAGCCAGGAGGGGAAGAGAGAGGGGGAGGGAAGACAGACATGGAGGTGAGATGGCCCCCAAGGCCCTCGGCAGGTGTCCTTGGTACTCTCTGACGTTGGGGATGCTCTGAAAACCTGAAACCTGAAACCACCCCAGAGGGCCAGGCCCCCCAGCCCTGGCATCCCCAGCAGGTTCCTCCCCCCCGCCCCCCCCGCAAGCTCTCTGGCTGGCCAGCTTCCCCACAGCAGAGGCATCTTGCCTGTCTCAGAGCACCTTCCACCCCACCTCTAGGTCTGCCCAGCAACCCTCCGGCTCTGGCCATGCAGGATGCTCCTGCTGTGCCCCACGGCCCGCCCCACGGCCAGCCCTCTCAGCTCCTGCCTTGGATCCAGCAGAGCATCAGTGGCCAAGACCCTCCTTTCAGACAGGAAGCACCAGCCCTGCTGGGGATGGACGGCTCTCCCTCTAGCCAAGCCCCTCCCTGCGTCATCCCCTGAATCATCCACCCCAGCACAGCGGCCTCTTCTAGTGAGATCACCGCCTTGGCTTACGAGCGAGCGGCAGGCCGTTCTCCAGGGGATGTAGCCATCCGCAAGGTCATCCTGCCAGCGACCGAGATCTGGAGAGCATAGCAGCCCAACGAGCGAGCGGCTGCCGAGGGAGCGCAGGAGGGGAGCCCGCCAGGCCCAGCCCAGGAGAGGCACTCCTCCCCCCCCCTCGGGCTTCTGTCTTGGAGGGCAGGGTGGCGGGGGGGGGAGGCTTTAGAGCAGATCCTGTCCCAAAGGCTCAGGCACATCCAACCCACTGGAAGCACCAAGAAGTCATGGGAGCCCTCCTCCCCCTAACCCCCACCAATTCTGCATGTCGATCTGGAAGGGTGTCCCCCCAAGCGGGGGGGGGGTGCCTCCCATTGCTTCATCTGGGAAAAGAAGACGGGGAGGCCACTCCCCCTTATCCAAACCGGTTTCAATGGGCTCTCTTAGTGCTTCCATGTAGGCGTGTCAGGGAGGAGACCAAGAAAGGACCAAGGGACTTCGGTCATTTACACCCTCCCTCTCTCACCAAAATGTAAAGTGGTGGAGGAATCGCAAGATACAGCGAGGTGGCCCTACACCAGGAGGAGCCACTGTGCGTAGAATCCGGAGCCCCTCCAGGTGCAAAAGTGCCCCCTCCTCTTGTTCTCATCAGCCTTTGCTGGCATGAAAGAGAAGGACCCCCCCCTCCCAAGTTGGTTCTTGGCCACCTTCTGAGTCTCCACAGTGGCTAACTCCACATCTCAGCAGGAGGCCCACGAGCGCACGTGCGCACACACACCCACACCAGCCAGCTTCTTTTTCAGAGAGACCCTATGTACCACCAGCAGGTCAGCTCTCACTGATGTTGGCACCTCGCCACCCCCGCCCGCAGACAGGGCTTCCCTGGCCCAGCCAATGCAGGTGCCCCTCTGGCCTTGAGCCGCGCCTGCCTCCTCTCAGCTTAGCTGGCCTCCCGCAGCTGCTCTGAGGGTGGAAATGAGGGAGACACCGCATGCAGCCTTGGGCTCGTTCTGCCCTTTCTGGGGTGAATGCAAAAATAAAAGATCAAAGTCCCATCAAGCATTGCCTGTCCCCGAGGAAGAAACACCTCCAGACGTGACCTGGCCATTATCCTGACATGTCCACTGGAGGAACATCATCTACTCTGCCCCCAAACATGCATTCAGATCTCTCCCCAGAGGCTGACCCCTCTTTCCATCCTCCGGACCAACTTACACATTACAAAGGGTGCTCTCTCTCTCTCTCTTTCTGTGTGTGTGTGTGTGCATGCGCTGTGCTTAAAGCAGCACTGCAAGCTACACGTTCCCCTCACCCCCTCCTATTAGCTGGATACTCAGTTTCTTGACCTCAGAAGGATGGAAAGGTGAGTCAGGCTACCTGAGCGACTGGGACTGAACTCGGGTCATGACCGGGGTCTTCCCTGCAGTCCTGTAGTTGTTTAACCACTGCAGCCACGCCACCACGAAAGCAACACCTGATTCCTTTAACGAATCTGATGCTCACGTGGTTCGCAAAACACACCAGTGGAAGCTTTTACACAACATAGTTTGGACATGTGAAGAAATAGCGACCATTATGCAGGATGTACCACCAGCAGGTCAGCTCTCACTGATGGGGATCTTTTCCAAGGTTTTCCAGGTCGAGAGTCCTCTTCTCCCTGGAGGCACAGAGGGAACTGAATTCCTGACTTCTGGCTACACAGCCAGATACACAATTCACTGAATTATTCAGCCAGTGGGTGAAGGGAACCAGAGCTTCATACGTCAGTGGTTGAAAAGAGATGTTTTTCTCTTCTCTGCCCCCCCCCATATCAAACAGAACAAGGCTGTTGTTCTCAGGCCTACATGCTCGGGCATATACGTGGGAGCAAGGGGCATTTGCCGAAGAGGTGCTTCTCAGGCAGAAGTGGCACCTCCAGGACTGCTTAGCCAAGGGGATCCCCAGCTTTCCGTGCCTGGCCCAGGGTTGACCTTTAGGGGTCAATGCTGGGCCAAGAGTCCCAGAGGCCAAAAAGCCACCGCCGCTGGCACCTCTCCCTCTCTCCCCACCGAGTTTGGGGGGTGGGGGTGGAGATCCCTGGAATTCCTTTGTCTGAGTTCACCCTTCGCCCTTCATGCCAGATTAGGGCAGGGCAGTTACAGCTTTGGGCAACTCACTTCCAACCAACCAGAGGCCAGAATGGCCGAGCGAAGGGCTGTCAATCACTCACCTAGGAGCATCTCAGAAGACACCCTCGATTCAGAGCCAAACGGCATCATCACGTTCCTTCCCCATCAGAGGTCAATAGCATTTTGTGGCCAGTCGGGCTCCAGATGCAGCACCGCCCAGCTTCCAAACCGGTCTACCCCCCAGGGTTCCACTTCCTGCCTTTCTCTCCCCCATTTCCTTTGCTTTGAAGGATTACCTGCCACCATCTCTGCTCTCCTTTCTCATTAACTTGTCTGCCTTTCTGTATTTTACCTGCCTTCTGATTTCTTAATTTCCATTTACTCTTCTTAATACTTCATTGGCCATTCTTTCCATCTAATAAACTCTTTGTATCTTGCAACAAATGTAGTTATCACATTTTTCTTTCTGCTGTATATTAATTTACTGACTAATTATGGGCCGTCAAGTTGATTTCAGCTTACTTCAGCCCTTACCAGCAGACCGCCAGCCCCTTCCTCTGGTAGCCCCTGGAGCTGTGCAGCTTACTCAAGGCTAGATGGGCTGGTTCTTCTCCCTGGAGCCACAATTCGGAAATCCTGGCCCCCACCCTTGACTCTGCAGCCCAGGTACTTCAGCTCACGGAGCCACCCCGACAGGATCTTCTTTACATCTCTCGTGTAAAGGTCCACAGGACTATGCCAGAGAGGATCCTTGTCCCTTACTAGTATGTCAGGAGTTTAACTGACTCAGTCCCTAGAATCTTCTGGGAAGGTGTAAGCGAGAAATGAACTGAATGTGGCTCCCAGTTTAATATTGCAGCAAAAAGGTCAGGAGCTCTCTGTGGTGTATTTAAGACCCTATCGGACAGCGTTGTGGAGGATCCTGGCATTGTATTCGCGATCCTGGCATTCCTGCACCCGGCGAAACACAGAAGATGGAGGATGGGGAGGAGGAGGAGGAGGAGGAAGAAAGGCATTGAAGAGGCCGGAAGAAAAGACTTCTTTTGCCCAGCAATTTGCCCAGCCAATATTCAGAGAACGGAACATGTGAAGATCTAATGAGGAGAGAGGAGGTCACAGAACCAGAGAACTGTACAGAGGCAGCCGGAGGAGAAGGCCCCCAAGCTCTCGAAAGGTGCGTGGGGCAGGGCGGGGACACGGGTCACAGAGGGGCATGGAGAATTTTGCAAAGGGTGTCGCTACAGCCTCCTGACAGCAAAGCCCTTTCCAAAACAGGGCCTCGGAAATGAAGGAAAATCCCTCTGATGGCAAAGCTGCTGCCTGGCTGGGAAACCATTCGTAAAATCACCAGATGGCGCCCCTGGTGCCAGGCGTTCACTGGGAAGGCGCCCCCATCAGGTGGTCGTCCAATCCCTGCTTTAAAAACCCCCACCAACCCTGGTCCCAGGCGTTCACTGGGAAGGCGCCGCCCGCCCCCATCAGGTGGTCATCCAATCCCTGCTTTAAAAACCCCCACCAAAGGAAAAGCCCCACCCCCACCCTCCGAGATGACCAGTCTCCTTGGTCAACAGCTCTTGCGGTTTCACAGCTCTTGTATATCCAGGCCATATTTCAATACATGAAAGCCAAGCATATATACTTAAAAAAAGGTTTTCCAGGCCAACTTCAGTTTGCCTCCAGGGTGGGGCTCAGCACAGAAACAGCTTTGGCTACCATAATTAATTAGCTGCTGCTTCGTTTGGGTCAGACCCAATCCAGTGGTGCTTCCAGCGTATAAGGATCAACTGACACAGTGGGATACCCAACTGTGTTCACGGCCTTCGTATTCTTTAGAGAGGCTCATTCTGTGTCCCCCTCCTGATGAGCTGCTATGTGGGGGGGGGCAGGACTACGGAAGGGCTTCTGCGCTGAATTGCATGGGTCTTCCAACAGCTTTCAGTTCTCTCAGCTTGCTGTCTCCTACCCAAGCAGCTCTGTGGGGAGGGAGGAGAAGGCCTGGTGTCGCTGTAGGACTGCCGTTGCCTACCCCAAAAAGTGGGAGAGGAAGCCCCCCTTGTCAGCTGATGGCTCTGGAAGTTGTGGGGTGCAGCCCCATCTGTCACTCCACACAGCTGCTCCCTTTGACACTGCTGGATCATCTGATGGGGCCTTCTGGCTGATGACGTCCCAGTGCTGATGACGTCTCGATTTCTGCCTGTCCTCCAAGTCAGGTGAGGCTGTGCAGCAGCTGGGCCAGTGCCTGAATGTCATGATGGGCTGGATAAGGGCCAATAAACCGAGTCTTGACAAAAAGCAGGGCTCTGTGGAACGGTGGGTCTGTGTTCCAGGCGGCAGGTAAGCCCCTGGCCCAGGAAGAAGCTGCCCTCTTCCTGAAGAGAGCAGGTGACAGTGAGAGCCTTCCGAGAGCTGATGGATTTGAGGCCCACTTTGGTTTGTTCCTCAGCTGCAGCCCTTCCTGAGCAAGGGCAACCTGGCCCCAATCAAATATACCCACGAGTAACTTCCTGTTTTTACTACTACAATGCCCTCTGCACAGGGGCTGCCCCTAAAGACAAGGCAAAGGCTGCTGCTAATAAAATATGTGGCAGCTGCAACACAAAAACTTTTGTTCTGTTTCTGTGCTTCCCGCTCCTGAATCTTACTAGCTTGCTTTTTTCTTCTTTTTCTTGTAGGAATACCATAAGTACTGTAACTCAAATCACACTCTACGAAATTGGCACAAATTAATGACAGGTATTCAGGCGAGGGCAACCGGAACTGAAGCCAGGTCGTTTCATTCCGTCAACAGTTAAAGTCACTTGGGACAATTCTGAAAATGGAAGTGCAAGAGCTCCTGTTCTGTAAGGATCCCCATCCTTTAAGGGCTCCCTTCCAGGTTCCCAAAATTGGTGGAGGAAGGAGAAGAGAGAATGGTTGTTGTGGGGGGTTTTTTGGGGGGGTGGCTGTTTGGCCATTTTCTGGAGATTTTTCTTCCTAACATTTTACCAGTCTCTGTGGCCGGCATCTTCAAAGGACAGGAGTTAAAACTCTCTCTGTGTTCTGGTTCCTCCAGAACACAGCCAAACAGCCCAAAAAACCTACAACAACCACCAGATCCCGGCCATGAAAGCCTTCAAGAAGAGAGAATCTCCAGCTGATCTTTCCTACTGACAGGCAAACAGGACAGCCAACTCCCCCATCCCCAAGCCTTCAAATCAAGGTCACCAGGACCTACCACCAACTAAACTCTTTCAGCCCATGAGGCAAAAAGCCCACCCCTGCCTCTCCTACTTCCTGGGAGAAAACGATAACAGCAGGAACAACCACCAAGGAAATGCATGACAAATTGGCATCACCAGAGATCGGCTGGGCTCCTGGCCAATCAAAAGAAAGCCGGCCAGCCGGCCAGCCAGCCAGCCAGGCTTTCCAACTTCTGCTGGGCTCAGCAGTGCAAAGGGCCCCCGGGTTGCTTCCTGCTGCCCCACGAGGGGCGGCGGGGGGGGGGTCGCTCCGGGTGGCTTCTGCCTCCCCCTCCCCCCACCAGGATGCCAGAGGATGTGGAAGGGGCCGGTGGGGGTTGCAAGACAGGGTCGCTCACCTCTCGCAGAAGGTGTGAAGGCAGGGGAGCACCTTGGGGTTGTGGTAGCGGTCCAGGCAGATGCTGCACACCAGGAACTGCTTGTCAATCTGGCGCACCACCGGACTGGAGGAGGTGGACTCCCGCTTCGCCATGGCGATGGCCCAGAAGCTGTGGCCCACGCGCGAACTCTCTCGCAGCCCTGCCGGAGGTGGGGGGGGAATGGAGAGAGAGAAGGCGCTCAGGACGCCTCGCCGCCTTCCTCCTCTTCCTCTTCCTCCCGAAAGGCCGGCCGAGGCCAGCCCCACCCCCTCCCGCGGCCATCGGGGAGGGCCCGGGAGAGAGA